TGTGCATGCCTTTGGCATTAACTATAACGCCTCTTTTAAATCATTCTTGTTTCTTATTTTTTTCTTTCGAATTTCTAAAACATAAACATTCCATCGATCGAGTATCCTTCATTGGGTAATTTTTATACGTTTCATCGAAGCATTTTGTTACTGTGCGTCTGCGAGAAGTTGGCTAGCGAGAGGAATGCGGGTCTGATTGGTTCCCCACTCTAGTTCAGAGTTTGGCGCTATTGGTCGTACAACGAAAGTGGGGGGTGGGTGGAGCAAGCGAGTACTCCCTTGTCCCCTTACTACTATATCTGAAACTAGTGACGTTTAAAAAAAATGTTTCGGATGGAAGTCACTTTGTTTCAAGGGGGACACCTCAAAATGAACGTAACTTGGTTCTATATCATGGTGTTTCTGAGATTTCAATACAACTTCTGTATTCGTATTCGATGGAACGATTCACTTTTTTACTTGGGTGATGCATCTAACCATTTTCTATGTAAATAAATATGTACGTATTTGTCTCACGGAAGTTAATTAATGGAAGATCCTTTTAACTTGTTGTTTTAACAAAGCACGCGATCACAGCTTTGGAGGATCGTTTCCTCGCGTGATTTTCCGACCCGACTCAAATGCTGATCACGCGTTTCCAGCAGTAACAGTCGTGAGTAACAATAACAAGCTTAATAAGCAATTCGACGTTTCGATATCGGCCGAGGCGCGCAGGGCGCATCCAATAAAATCTCCGCACTCCGGACGATAATTATCGCGAGAAAACAGCGTTAATCCCCGCAATCAATCTGGCGTATATGCGGCAGGGGATGCATGAAAATCTGGAAAACGCGCTTTCCCGGTCGCAATCGGGCTACGGTGACCGCCGACCGGGCCCCTACCACCGAAACAACCCGGTTTGTCCAATAAAAGCTCCGTTTTCCCTTCGCTATCGCCACCCCCCTCCCCCTTCGCCGCTCCGCAAAACCATCTCGTCGAGCGGCCTAATAAATCCGACAGATAGGATTGGCGTGCGCTATCAATTAAAAATGATGAAACCGAACGTGCGTCCGCCTCTATGTTTCCCAGCATGGAGTTTTCCCTCCTTCTCGGTCCTTCCCTCCGTTATCTCTCTCACGTTTCGAGAGGAGCACACGGCTGATTCCTTCGCCTTGTCTGCTCGCGTAATAAGCTTAAGCGATTAGGTGTACCTTAGGGGCGTACTGGCGTTCCCTTCTTCGACCTTCCAGCTCCTCGGTTTTCAGTCGACGGGAGAAGCGGCCGCCGCGGAAAGGGCAGCAAAATAAACGATAGACCGGGAGAGAAAGAGAGAGAGAAGGTATGCCAACCCTCTGGAGAAAATTGAAAAAAAAAAAGAAAAAGTGGAACGAGAACGGTGGGCGCCGGTGCGACGGCAGCACCGGCAGGTTTTAAACGCAATTAAAATTTTTAATTGCGACTCTCCAACAGAGGGGAACACCTTCGAGTTCATCCTTCGTCCTTCTCACGCGATCGCGCTTCATCCAATGGACGCTTTATCGTGTCACTTTCCTCTACCGTTTTCTTTCCTATCGATTAAGCGCATTCTTCGCGATTCACCCCCTCCCCCACCCCCCGGGGGGCATTTGAGACTGATACAGGGAGTGGTAATTTCTTTTTTATAGCCTTTCTGGTACCTCGTCCTGTTAGGGTTTTATTTAAAACAATATTTGTTAAACGGAATATGATGTAATATAGATAACCCTTCTTTTCACAGACCACTTCGTACAATTTAATAGAGCTCGCTCTTTTTACGTTTCTCAGAAAAACGATGATAATTCCTACACTTTTTTAGTTTCAATTCTGGTAAACTTTTGATTTTAAATATGTACTTGAATTTGACTTTCATTTGATACTTCAAACATATGTATACCATGTCTTCTTTGTTATACTTTTAATCTATGAATTGGACCAAAAAATTCTTTGAATAAATTGCCTCTGGAAGGGCTTGTATTTAAAAAGTAATCAAAGCGTAATACATTTCAATTAGACACGACATACAGATTGCTCGAAACTTAAAAAATTTAACCTAATACTTCGCGTACGCTCTTTACATCGTACCTGGTGCACTCCAGATTTAACGTATCGTTGCGATGCTTCGTTGATCGCCCTACTAGCTATCGAGTTTCTACTTGTTACGATGAGTCCTCAAACTGATTCTTAAAATGAACTAGCCATCATTGAACATCTCTGTAATGATTCTTAAAATGAGCCAAACGTGATTCCTAAGTTGAACATTTCTATTCCTTCGACAAGAGAGATCCCTCTGAAGACACTTAAATTAAAGACGATGTTTTTTTTCTGATTTGACTACGGCCGTCGGTATAAGATAAAGGCGACTCTGAGGTTCAACGATATCGTCGCGTATAAATGTCTGCTGGTGTCGAATTTCGCCGTCTGTTATACGAAAGATAAACGTGCCAAGCCTGGATCGATGTTCGTTTTAAGAATCATTACTGTAGATGGCACGTTGAAGCGTCGATAACATCGCCCCGATGCCGGAACAGTCGGAACGTGTCCCCGGGTTCCCGGGCAATCGAACGGACGATGTGAAAACCGAGTGAAAAATCAATTCCGCGCTTCGACAGGCAAAAAAGCAGGTGCTCGTAAAGGCTGCTAGCGGGCAGGTTATTATCCGGGCCGCAGTGAACTACGGCGGCGTGCAACCGCCCGGCAAGCGTGCCCCCGGGAGTCTAATCGATGCGTCGTCGCATGCGACTGCGTGCTTTTATCGCTGTCACGCACATAATTAATTTAATTTAGTTTAATACGTCGGGCCAGCGTCAGGCGGCGATTGCTGTTCCGATTGTTTGCACGGAAACGCTACCATTAACCCGCCCCCCCCCCCTCGTCGCGCGCGCGATCGCGCTCAAGCGGCCACGACACTCGTATCCGCTGAATTCGAGAGAGATAAATAGATATTCATTGGCCTGGGATAATAATATCCTTTAAGGACACACGAAATATCAGCGTACAACGCGATACAATTTACAGCGAGTTTGTCGAACCCATTTTGGCCAATTTTCATTTTGCTATTGCGGCGCGGTTCGTATACGAATAGAATCGTAACGTAAATACTCTATGATTAGTGCTACGATCGCACACGGGGCGATTTTAAAGGAAAAAATAAGACAGAGACGACGGAATAAAATTTTTTCATAAGAGATTTCGGTTTTGAGAAAATCGATTTCGAAATTTTACCGGTGCTCTGTTCGAGACGAGACAGAAAAGATAAACAATGAGTTGGGCAGAATTTTATTTCATAAATTATTAAATAATACGAATTTTAAAGTCATCGCCATCACTTTATAAATTATTCTTTACATTTTCATTGCAGTTTTGTCAATAGACTATTTAACGGCTATATAACCGGCCATGGCCCTATTTAAATTATTTTCAATTATATCTACCGTGTTTAATTATGGTCAACTCATTTTTATCACGAAAACCTCTTGGATCTTTGATAACATTCTCATAAAGATGAAACAAAAAATACAGAATTTTATATCGTTTGAGCAGTCACCGCATCATACGCGTGCGGTGTCCCTTTGATCTTTCGATCGCTCGATCGCTGTTGGTCTATCTCGCTCACTCTTTGCCTATCCCATCTGCTCCCCTCGTTGTTCACGCGTGGTTAGATTTTGGTCCAAACTAGTATTAGATTCCGACCTTTCCTAATCGACATCTAGTAGACCCGACTTTTCGTCAATAAACGAGGGACTACTGTACGTCTCTACAATTAAATCATTATCGTCCAATTTCAATGAAAATGTCGTTTGTTTTTTGTACTATCAACCATTGCAAAGTCGATTAGTTTTCTTTAACTTGTTGAAGAAAATAATTACCCCTATAAAATATTTTTAATCTTTCTCAAAAAATAATAGAATGTTAAGGAGTGTTTTAAAATATATCAAGCTTGAAAATTTCTAGACACAGATTTTTAAAACAATCCCTAGCAAGGGCCTTTATTCATACCTCACTGTGGGTTAAAATAAGAGAGGGGAGTCATCAAATTTTTTCCTTGTAAGATAGCAAGTTTTCTATTAAGAGAAAACCAATTTTCTGTATTAGTGATTACTCTAATAGCCGAGGACATTCATTTATCATCGATCAGGGGAATATTTATTTCGGTGTACGAGCGCATCGGGTCTGTTAGTTTTATTTTCGTTCTCTTTTTGTTCGGTACTGTTTTCGTGCCGAATATAAAAGTCAATAGAGCGAGATTCGATTTGCGTGAATTACTGGCCACGTCGCGTTAAAGGGCCGATGGCAAATTATGAGTGAAGTTTAAAGAGCAACGTAGCGAGTTACGAGGGATTTTAATAAACGTTGAAGCCCACGAATCGCGGGCTCGATACAAGCTATTCCTTTTATGAGGGCTCGTTTCTTTTCGTTGCATCGTCGACGGTAACACGATCGGCCTCGTGGTGTCGTGAGGGTTAACGAGTTAATTCTTCGTTAGTCGCGTGACCACGCGAACCGATTATTTAAAAATGTACGAACGTTCGTTGTTCTAGCCAAAACCCAGTGAGAACGATCTTTAATCCAGTAATTTATCGATAATGCGATTTTTTATGTGTACATTAAGGGCTGAAAATCATCCTCCGATGGAAATCATTGATTTTGAAACTGACTTAATTAAAAGATAAACGAAAATGATCATTCGAGGGGTTGAAATGTTCAAATTCTATTTTCCATTTTCCAAAAATGGATGACCACGAGGAGAAAAAATATTAATGAGTGGTTTAACAAAATAACTGAGTTAAAAGTCATAACGTAAGAAACGATAGTTGTGCAACAATTTATGAAGAAAATAAGGCGATTTAGCGTTCTATTCCTGGACATTTCCACCTTCCTGTGTGACAAATCATATTTTCAGACGTCTACTAATTATATAATCGAACGAGACTCGAAGAAACGCGAGCTATCGGTAATTGTGGCGCACCGAACTCGGTTTTCTACAAACGACGCGAGTAACTCACCTGGACGCGGACTTCCGGAAGATTGACTTTCATGGCGAGTTCCTCCCTGGAGTACACGTCCGGATAATGAGACTTCTCGAAGGCCCTCTCGAGCTCGTGCAGCTGGTAAGTGGTGAAGGTCGTCCTGTTTCGACGATGCTTCTTCTTGCCGCCGTTCCCGTTTAAATCGTCCCCGCAGCCTGTCCCGAGTTCCTCGTCGCTGCCGCCGCCGGTGGAGTTGCAGCTGTTCTCACCTGGAACCCACGGGAGTGGTCAGGTCTCCTCGGAAACGGTCGTTACGGTTAATAGATACGGTAATGGTGATCCATTTATCCAGTCTCAGCTATTACCTCTATTATGCGCGTATAATGGTACCCATTACAAGTGTTGCCAACGCTTGTCCGACGCGTACAACCATGGATTTCGCGTCGATCCGTGATTTCTGTCGCTTTTACAAAAAAGATCAATTCCCTTTTTCCGGTATTTCACTTCACAATCTACTACGAGAAACTTTACTACATTTTCATTTCGCGAACCATGCGTGTATAAATAAAATTATCAGTCGATGTCATAATACTGTTTCAGAGGGTGAAATCAACCCCTCGAAGAAAGCGTTGTTTCTCCAAAATAAGTAATAAAGTTAGTATTGACTCTGGAAAGACCAGTCCCAAACTCTCACAAAGAGGAAAGTGAAATATTTTCAAGCAATTATTTACTGTCGCTTAAGTATTTATAATTCATGTTTAAGAATCAAAGAAGCAAATAGCGACAAGGTAAAATGGTTGCGTACTCTTCTAAGCAGACTTTTCAGAATTTCAGAATTCTTCGACCTGTAATAAATATCTTGTTGAAAGAACAGAATGAAAAATATACGAGTGTACACAACGTACAGGATGTCCCAACTTGAACACCATAAATATCTCGTTTCTTTTTAATGATAGAAAATATTATAATTAGTAATATACTTCCCTCAAAGTTATATTTGTCCAGGTTTTTAAAATTAAACCATATAAAATATGTAAAATCCGAAATGAAATAGGTACAATGATTTATAACGAAAAAGTACTATTTCCAAACGAATGTAAATTGCAAGTGGCAGGACGTAAATTATAAAACTAAGTTAAATAAATTTATAACAAGTTACGAGTGGTGTACACGAAGGTTATAATCAGAAGATTGGATTAGATTAGGCTTCTTTGTGTTCTTTTCTGTAAGTTACATTTGACCGTACGAAACGAACGTGGATTTTTGACACATGTCGTGTCGTGGCGCGTAATCCTTTTACGATACCGTCTACCAATTACAAATGCAAAAAGATCAATTTCACACGCGTGGAGATTTCCTAACACGGACCGGTTTAATAGCCCCGTTTGGGCGTTGTTTAATTTTAAACCACACCGTGGCCTCTCGACGATTATTGATTTACACGAACTTGTAATTATTTCCTCTATTATACAACGCATAACACGGCGGCTATTACAAGGGCTGTAATGCCGCGTAATAAAGCCCGTGCATCAAAGTATGCATACGCCAAATTGCAGGTTTTCGCCTGGAATATTATGCTACGAGAACGATTAATTATCCGTTTCGATAGTTTACGCGTTTGAAATTACTTCTCTGAACGTGGGATCTTAATTTTTAGTAATTTTCCGTCAATCGAACGCAACGTCGGAAACGCGGAACGAAAGCTGTTAATCGGGCACCGACGAAATCACCAATTACAATAATCGAAAATCGTATTTACGTATCTTTATTCCGTCCGTGGGATTGGCGATAAAATACTCAACGAACGTGACAAGGTTTCCGTAAAAATCACACGACCGATAAGAGAGTGTGAGGTTGAAAAAGATTGAACACTTCCAGTATGCACTGACACGCGCGGTCATACACCGGGTGACGCGTTTCGAAATAATGGGCTGCGAAATTTATTACTTCGAAAAGTTTTCCCTTAGCTAATTTAAAGCATAATGCAAAAAAGGTAATCTCTCTTGTTTATCTATCCGTTGTCCTATAGTTGATGTGTATTCTTTTTTTTTTTGTTTGGTTAATTGTTTTTTTTTCGTGAAATTAACTGCACAAGAAAAGCTAGACTAGAATAAACAAGTGTTAAAGTTCTTCTCTCGCTATTAGGGAATCGAAAGAGGTACTCAACGCCCTGAAACGAGAACACGCGCGTGGATGTCACATTTTTTCGCGAAATGAGAGGTTCCATACTCCGCAGAACTTGGCAATTAACCGTATAAATCAACTTGTCGACGCAGTTACGCAACGGAAATTAAACGACGAGCTGCGAAAAGGGATAAACACCATTTTTGATTGTCGCGTCGCACAGCTCATAGCAAATCCTTCACCGAAACAGCGGTTCCTCGCGTTGTTAAAAAAAAAAGGCAGAAATAAAACGCTAATGTTTTTTTTCAAATCATAATTTCCCGAACGTTCGATTTCATATTTTTAAACGATTAAACTTGAGTGAGACTTCGTTTATCAGTCGCAAAGCTGTCAATTTCGAGACGATAACGAGGTAGTTCGACGTTCTGGTGCACAATTTCTACGAACGGAGCGAAAATCAGAGTAATCAACTTCATCGGAGAACTTTCATCGTGGATATTCAATTGTGAATATTAAAAGACCGATAAAAGGAGTCGGAAAGATTTCTCGTTCCTGCTAATTTTCAGAGGATTTACAGCATCGCTGGCTAAGCGACAAGTAGCTCGTTTCTTGGCGCGACATTTCGCCGTCATTAAATAACTTGCAGCAGGTAACCGCGTAACCTGCACTTTCGACAGACTATTACACGGTCATTTTCGCTGTAAATTACCGCCGCCTCCCGCATTATCCGTCCTTATTATAATATCCAAGAACATGAACGCCCGTTATCAAGCAAGAAATTGATTCTGCGGGACCGCACGAGCTTACGGGGGTTCCCCCCACTACAAACCGATCCTCGAGACCAAATACTATACCTATAAAGATTGCACGCCATTTTATAATAGTACGTAATTCTGTTACTCATTATTTTAAGCAGTACAAAATTTTAACAAATAGTAAATCAACCTTTTCAACAGCTTTCCTGTATTAGTTCCAAATCAGCTCTCTTAACTTTCATTATCTTTCCAGTTCCAGAAAACGGAAGATTATTTTATAATAGAATTCATCGTAACACCAATAGTAGAATAACCTTTATAAAACTTCTGATTATTAAATCTGAATTCTATTCAGAATCAGTCGCCCCAGTATTAGTTTTAAATTAGCTTAGCTCCCAGTAATAGCTCTCCAACCCCCGAAGGCAAAAACTTAAATCAGAAATGCAGTAATCGGAAGTAATCATTTATTGTTTCGTTTGCATTGATTGCATTAACAGCTATATGCATTTACATGTGAATTTATCAGATTTCGTTTTACAGAAAATTTAAATAGACCTGGAAAGGTAGACTTTTCAAAATAGACTTGACGAGACAACTGAAATTATCGTTTTTCTGTTACTTCTCAATGAAAAAGAGACATTTTAAAATTGTTTGTGATAGATCACATCCGAGATACGATATATGTACCAAAGTTGCACGATTTTTGTAAAATGATTTATTCAAAATTAGTAATAAATTTGGAGAAACTGTGGGTAATATGGTCGCTATTATTCAATTGTTTTGAATATTGCTTCGTTGATAGTACTATGACACTATAAACATCTTGTATTTTTGTTTTTATCAAGCATTGCTTTACTGTCAGGGACTATAAGCTTCTGGAGGCCCGGAATCAGCGGTCTGTATCCCCCTGACCGCGCGGAACGGTCCCCATTGAATATCGTCGATTGTCTAACGCGGCTAATTTGAAACGGAAAGAGAATGGAAGACCATTTTCCGGCGCTCCTCATCCATAACCAAATTCAACAATCGAATCCAGCCGGGCTCCAAATGATTCTCTTTTCGCCGGCGCATCCCGACACCCCGTGGGGTGTATATATTCAGGCTCTCATTAACTGCATAATTAACCTTCTCTCACGTCGCAGCGTAGCGCATTAGATCGAATTGTGGGGGGTAATCGGGTGGCTCAATGGCGGCGTTCCCGAACACACACGGACAGCTGCGCAACGAGCACGTATTCTGCGTGTTCCCGTGTGTCTGTGCGGCAACGGCCCGGTGCTAACCAACAGCCTAATAACCTCGCCTTGCCTCGTGATTGACGCGCCTGTACCGGCTAATTATCAACAACAATCAATAATGGCCCCCGAGAGTGCCAACACCATCGTCCTCCTTCGGTCCTTGGCTCTCTCCTTCGTCCACCCCCACTGTGCTTGTGTGTATCCACGCTACCAGACAACACTCCTTCACCCTTCTTCCTTCAGGCTCTAACGTCGCCCCGGAGAGGGACTTCTGTTCTAGAAGACAACGATTTTCGACCCTACAGTACCTCGATGGATCGAGATTAACTCTTCCTGGCTACTGACGTTTTTCATGTTTTCCAACAATTCAATTACTTTCACTTGTACCCTATGGTTTATGTGTATTTTCTTACTAGTTCTGAACTTTTTTGAATATTTTTATTTAATTCTAATCTCTATCTTGTATGCGTCTTGCAATACTTGCAGTTCGTATCAGTATTCGATATAGAGGCGAACAGTGAGGGTCCAAAGAGACCCAGAGTTAGCCTTCTGTCGTCGAAAGGGTAAAGTTATCCAGAGATTGAAAGAAATAAAAAAATTCGTAGGTTGGCTGTCGAGTGTGTTACGAAAAAACTGTTAAATTTAATATTGTTTTGCAATAACACGCGGTTGATGATAGCGTTCGAAGACTTATTAAAACTGTACTCCGGAGGATCGTAACGTTGATAAGCAGTAACAATCCCGCGGTCGTTTCGGTCCGAGACTTCCGCTCCAATTCGCATCGCTCGCGATGATAGACGCGCGTCAGAAATTGAATTACGACGAAACGTATCGCGCCTGCGAGAAACCTTTCCTCCCCCGGAAGGGGTAACGGGTTCGTGTCGGAAGCTCGATCTCGCGTGATTGGTCAAAAAGTTGCGAGCCATGGATCATCGACGATCGACGACTCGCAAATGGAACTGTCGAGTCCCTGTCCCAGCGTAAAAGAAAATTTTCAAAAGTGTCTCCTGTTTACAATAATCCTCCATACTATCGGTAATCGAGGCCCCGTTTCCGACCAAAAACAACATCGAGGATTTAGAAAATGTAAATCTATTTGGTTTTGACCAGTCGTGAAGAAATTTTTAATTACAAACATAAATTTCTCTGTGAAAA